TWAAWWRGAGCRGATTWCGTAWGACTGTGCAAAGCACGGATCACAACAYGGACACAGCACGGCACGGTCACGGAACCTCGYCTTCTAGGATTCCGAATAAMAATAAAGATTTAACAATACATCACYGYTACGGCACGGCACGGTCACAGCACGAAAGTACCGTGTTTTTTGCACAGTCATACGAAATTGACTCTAGTTGTCAGTGTTTCAAAGTGACTATGAGTGACTATTGAGTCGAATAGAAACAATGTATTTCAGTATTGGAATGTATTCAGTATCACAGAAAGTATGGTCCATGTTTTTGGAAATGGCTGAGCAAAATCCATGCGTGGTTATTTCGATAAATGATTTTGAATGGGGGTTTGCATGTTCATAACTGCAGTAAAATGTTCAATAATAAGACATWAAGTTTCCTGTAATTGCCACAATGATTTCTATGTGGCGGGCAGAATGATGGTTTTTATTTTTACAATAAGATAACCTTTAATTATTTGTTACAGACTAATAATCATAAGGCAGGAATATTTTTGTTAGCACACTTGTTTATATGCATGTGATTTATATTTGTATACCTTGGCCCTTTTTGGGTTTTGTTTGTTTCTTTATTTCCTCCTTTCTTTCTCTCTTTCTCTATTGCATAATTACTTTCACAGTTTTTTCATTTTTGTTTGTGAATGAAAACAATTAGAGTCCTTTGCAGATATTATTAGTATAAGTTTATAACCAATACTAACGATGTCTGCAATGGGAGGCTAGAAAAAAATCAGAAGCAGCTCGTAATTGTAACCATAAAATGCTTTGTTTTTTTTCCTTATAAAGTATCAAAAAATATATAATATATGCAAATGCAAAGCATTTTTTTTTACGTTTAAGTACTTGGACTGGAGTTATTTGTTCAAAAATATGTCAAGGTAATTAGGACATAGGCACAATACATGCATCTGTGAAGTTGAGAAATGAGAAAAGGAACTGGAATTCAGAATGACTGGGAAATATATATATTTTTTAATGAAATATAGCTGGAATACATTATTAGCCCTTATTGTATGATAATAGCTTCTAAAACCAGGGTATTTAGAGCCATTTGACACAGAAAAGTTCAATCAAAGGATAAAGGATGTTAAATTAATCTGTGTTTACTAAGTGGAGGTCTCTGAAAGTAGTTTGTTAGGACATGAAACGGCTCTTATAGTTTAGTTCAAAGTCTCCATCTGTAATTGTGCAAGCAAAGTTACTCTCCATTGTTGGGATTCCTGTCTACAATATTGGGAGCATGGTCAGGAAGAGTATTCTTGGGTGGAGGCTATAGGGAGTTAATAACCTTGAATTATTTATGTACAAAAAAATAACTCAAGACTAACTCAGGGTAACATTGCATATTTTGAAACGGCTATAAGTCAGTAGTAGTGTATCAATGAGAAATGATTTGTAAGATTGTACATTATATAAAAAGAGAGTTTTTGGCCAATGTGCATGACAAATTCCAGTGCTATATTGTTGTATTATATATATTAGACTAATATTAACATAAGCAAAGAAGATTTTTTGTGAATGCCAGCATCCATAAATTTGTAGCAGAAAAGAAATGTACATATTTTAAGAGAAAGCCAATAAAATGTTTAACTGCAATATTTAGAAGTGTTGTTATGGACATATCATTCTAATCCCCCTTGGACCATAATCCTCAGTGTAAATAAAATACATGTTATTTACCGGCTGGGAGGTCTTGACAGGATGGACCTTGCTGTGCTTGGTCTCTACACAAAAGACGGAGGGCAGTGTTTTCCTTTACGGTCCGACCTATAGCCAGTAAATAACATTTTTTTCTTTATTTGTATTTTCTGCAACTTTGCTCTATGCAGCCAAGCTGCAGGTACTGTCGGACCGGGACTTCATGGTGAAATACCGGACCATGCCCTAGCCAATCACAGCGCACGAATGACTAGGATACCATACCAAAAAAAATGATGTTTTGCAAAATCGTAGAGTCATTATAACACAATCATTTTTCTGAAATATCACAAGTGAAGACAAGGTTTTAAAGCATGTTGACAAATAGCGTTTTAATGATTTTTTAATTGATAAAATAGTTGTACAAATGTAATTACAGTATGTACATTAATGTGATTATTTTAGTTTACGGCTTTTTTCCTATTCTTTTGATGCTTCCACTTTGAAGTCTTTTCATTAGCAGTGTTGTCTCAATTCTTGCTGTTGGTTCAGTTGTAGTGAATCCTCGTTTGATGTACTTGTCAAGGGTATCTGGTGTGATTTCTGGATCAATAGACTGGATTGCATTACGGGCATCTTCAACAGTTACCTCACTTAAAGAAAGAATGGAAATTTCATTCATTAAATGGTCTGTGGAATATTTTTTTTATAGTTTTTATGATTACCTGACAGTTCCAAGAGCTGTAGCAATGTCCTTGATGTATATAGACTGTTCTAGTTTATCTTGCTCGCGCACTTTGTCCACAAATGGCCCTGCACGCCCTTCTTCATCCTAAGATGATAAACGAACATTCATCATTTGCACATAYACTKAATACAATTGTTATTAAGGTGGTGGTGGGAACTAGTGCTAAAGAAGTGTGAGCTGCGTCGGTGTTTCTAAAGAAACAGTTTTGTAAATAGATAAAATAAAACCGTAAAAAAGTAGGTGAAATAACCTACTGACGTTTCGCACATTAAKCCTTCATTGGAGTAAGTAATAATGTAAGTTATTTCACCTACTAACTTTTTTTACGGTGTTAAATTTATCTTTTGTAAAGTCTTTTCTACCTCAGTGAAAAGGTTTTTATACTGTATTGTGTCACCAGGTGATTCTTGTTCAGCTGCTTTGATCAAACCTTCCATAGAATCATTGTCTTTCAGAGGGAAAAAYGTTCTTAGACTTTGCTCCAGGTCTGCTCGTGATATAGAACCCTACAARTTAAYAAAAATATTACATTATTGGTAAGAACAGCACATAGCAGCTTTATYRACAGGTACGCACCTGGTTCCCAGAAGAAAGATCGACTTTTGTCAGTGTATTGTAAAGTTTTTCCAGCATTACTAGTTGATCATGATAGACYACCTCATCGACCTAGAAAACAACATTATTCAGACTTATTTCAATTTAATTAAAGAGGTTCAATACAAACAGTCTCTTCTATATCTTAACACACCTCTTTCTGTAGAATGCCATAAAACAGCCCAATTCTGGAGTCGTGGCTGTATCTATTRCAAGCATCATACAAGTTATAGCCCCATTCAAAGATCATATTCTCCACACCAAACCTTCGTTGGAGGTATATGTAGAGAAATTCTCCTAACTCTTCCCGTTCCCCTGTAGTTTTCTGATGAAGAGAGTATAAAACTATTGTAAGAGAATTGTATCAAATGAGTTGCTGCAAGTTGAAAGATGTCTGCTGATGGCATAGTCTCCTTCGCAGCCTCCCCTTTTGTCAGCTTCCTGTCCCTCCCTCTTCTTTTGGGTCAGATTGGTTCAACATCAGATTGGATCCAACACTGGCTGTCAATCACTTAAATCTAACACCACAAAGTATGAACCCACCTCAGCATCATGAGCAGCCTTTTCTTGCCAAATATCTTTGATAAGGAGTGAAGTGTCTCTTTTGCCAAGACGACGATTGCGAACTTGACCTTCATACCTTAAAAACCTGGGAACTTCAGGACCAGTACCCTGTTTGTCAACATGGAATCAGAAAGATTAGACAACAGCGTGTGTGTCGCAACATGTTATTATTTTATGTTTAAATCAAACTGTCAAAAAGGATAGGGAAGGTATCACTATACGTACCAGTCCCTCAAAGTATTCAGCACCAGACGAGGCTCCTGATTGGATCAAAGCAATGTCTTGACCTGTCATTTCRGCCAATAGAACATCAACAAGCTCATCACTAGTCCTKCCTTGTGATAACTCATTCCAGCGRTCATTGCCTCCTTCTACATACTGACCACATTTCTCCCACTTTGGTCTGTAAAAAGTCATATCACAATGGTATTACATTACCATATAGAAATATCCACTAGTCCAAGATGAAAGCTGCATGGAATTGGTGAGTTGTAATTTTGTTTTGTATATAGCAAGCATACATGTAATACCTTGGTGTAGCACTTCTTCTCATTTGGTCACATTCAAGTGACAGTTGATCTCTTTGCTCTACAACTTTCTTGTACACATCAAGTAAAGCACTAAAACAAGAAAAAACATTTCAAGAAACCATATGAAACCAATTATCATTGTCATAAACTGTCTTTCCATACAATAAACAAGTAAATTATGGCAATTTAAGCAGAGTTAAAATAGATGCAATGGCCTGTCAGTCATGGCTTGCTGGGCTGATGCCTATCAATGGTTTGCTGATAGATTGCCAGACACTGATCTTACTATATATTAATAAGTGAGCTGGCTCAAAGGCTGCCAATCATTGGCTTGGCTTTTTCTATGATTTACCTATGTTCTTGCATCAATTTCTTGTTATCTGTATCCATTTTCTCTCCATCAGCTAATGTTTTCTGCAAAGGCAAAGAGACAATAAATGAATCAAATGTGTTATGCTAGTAATATGGCTTGCAACACAAATAGCAGAAGAGTTATGCTCACATTATGAAGGGCTTCTAGTTTCTCAAAATCTCTTCTTGGTACAACATCCCCATAGTCAGCCTCCATTTTGGAAAGTTTTTGGTTTTTCATTTCCAGATCTTCCCTGGCCTTCCTGGAAGTGAATGGTAAAGAAAACATGTCCCTTTTCATGCAATAATTTACAAATTTTTAACCATGAAATGAGTAGAAATTTTCATTTTTATCAATTACAAATATTTTTCTTACTTCAGAGCAAGTTTC